CTTGGCCACTGAATAAAGTAGTTTAAGGATGTAAATTTCTTCATTACGGCTTTATCTAAGGTTTAGTTATTTTAGTAATAGAAATTCAGTTAATTAAATTAAGTTTCTAAATTATATAAAATACAATACAATGTGTGTGAAAGGTAATTTAAAAATGAACTATGACCCAGCCGCAAAATAAAAGTCTAAAAACTAAATAAGCTTTAAGGATTTTATTGTAAAATTTTTTATTATAAAAACACTTTAGCCATAAGTTTTTGTAGAGTTTTAAAATAAGTAACTAAAATGAGGTAGATTGTTATATAAGATAAAATTGGCAAGCCAAGTGAGGTAATTAATTGTATAATAAATATATTTTCACTATTGTTCGTTAGATGAGAACAGTGCCAAAACACCAGTCCATTTTAGCAGGTAATAAACGAATAAACCCACAAAAATGATTTTGCAAGCTCGATCGATGACGTACATTCTGAAAGTGAAGAAGAAGCAATAATAAAGTAAATGGTGAAATTAAAATGCATTTTAAGACAAAATTTTCATAAGATAAGCAAGGCTTTTTTTATTTATTTTTTTATTTTATTTTTATTATTTTAACTTTTATTTTTTTAATTTTATTTTTATTGTTATTATTTATTTATTTATTTTATTATGTTATTATGTTTTATTTTTATTGTGAATTTTTTACGTAATTGGGATTTTATAAAAAAAATAATATTTCTCATTGCGGTCATTCTCGCCCTCGGAACATATTTCTGACTTGAAATAAAGGTTCCTCATAATAATTCGGACATGAAATAAAGGCTCCTTGTAAAAACAGCATCAACCGTTCGGAGGTGGTTTAGTACAAACTGTAGCTACGTCTTGGAAAAACATCAAGATGTAAAACCGAAAAATCCTAGCCGTTCTGAGACGGCTGAGAAAAACTGTATGCCCCTTCTTTTATTTTGGAATAAGAGCAAAATACACAGCACAAGTTGGAAGAAATCACTTCAGTGATGTACTCGTATATGTCTATAATCATTTGTATATTATATAATATACGAAACCTTTTTGATCTCCGAAATCGGCATCAATACCTTTTTTAATTGTTTTTGTAAATTTATAGTACCAATATGTGAACACTTACATCTTGTGATGGAAACGAGCCTTTGGCAAGTCCTCTAACTTTTCCTTTAAAATATATTCTCGGCCACCCTTAATGCAACCAATTAAATACTCCTCCTCGCTGTAGTCGGAGTGCATGTCCATGTTGAAGCTAAAATGTGTAAAGAAATTTAAAAATGCATTAGTATCATTTAGTTCTTCCTAATTAATTGCTCATTTCTTACATCCCCCTGTCCTCCGTTGATAGATTATCCCAAAGACTTGCAAAATTGTCGGATTTGAAATACCAAGGATTGAGCGTGAAGAATTGTAAGACATCCAGACCGGTCGAGATTTTATTTTGAACACGCACCATACTGTAAACGAGTATATATGTAAGTGTGTATTAGTATATTTTAATAAAAAAAAAAAAATACTTTCAACGGCAAAATTTATGTTACTTACAAACGCTTTTGCCCGAAGATCAATAGTAAAAAGTCCAGAAAGTATGCAGGCAACCAATGGAACATCAATACATTAAATTGATGATATATTTTGTTGGTGGTGATTACGGCGTCGGGATACCACAATCCCACATTAAGTGGATACTCACGTCCTAAACGCTTGCACATGGTAATCACATCTCCCATTTTGGCCTTACGATGATCGGCGTTTGTGATGTTGTAAACGGGAATTTCGGCAGGACTAAGGAAAATATTTAAATATTATTCGTTCATAATTATATAATACATATGTATACATATTAGAAAGTGACAGAAATACATCATTGCAAAATTTCTGCCAGAAAAATGCTTGCAAAATGCTTGCTTACCGTTTGCGGCTCTTGTAAAATTCATATGGTATGACAATAAGTCCATTTATGGCATAATCCACTGGTATCACCTCGGAACGATTATTACCATCGACAAGCACCGAGCGTATTACACCCTTGCCAACGCCAATCATCAGACCTGTAGGTCCGTTCAAGTTGTCAACCCAACCCATTTTCGGCTCAAAAGCGGCAGGCGAAACTAAACACAATCAAATTTATTCACTTTAATCTAAATTTTTTTTGATTTTTATGTGACATACTATTATATTTACCGCTGAACCGCGCCACAATGTGGCTATTAGTTGGCTTTCAATGTGTGTAAGTGGATGGGTGTTGCATGTTTATGTTGTGGTTGTGTGAGTAGGTGGTTTGTTTTAGATGTTTAATTTATGTGAATATGTTTAATGTAGCAAAATGTGTGTTCTATTGTGTTACAGGACTAAGTATAACTTTGTGTATATGTATGTATGTATGCGTATATATGAGTTTGTGTAAGATAAGTTTTATGTAATTTTGTATGGTAAATTTGCATGATTCAGATTATTTCATTAATATACGTTTGCATGTATGTAATATGTGTGCATTAACTGCATTTTCGTGTATAAGTATGTATGTATGTTTGTATTTAATCGAGTATATGTAGAGTGGGTCAGTGTAGCCAATTCTATCGGGCAGAACTAAAAAAAATATGATTCACTCGACGTTGCTTATTTTTTTTATTAATATTATTTTTTCTTTTTTTCGTTGTCACCTTAAACATTTAGGTGGTTCACATATCGCCACATTCGTCGCGCTGTTTAACCGTAAATACGAACTTGCGAGCACACGATCGTATTTTATTATTCATTTTTCACATTTAATATACGTTTTTATAAAATTCGGATTTAGTTTTGAAATTAGAATTCGTGTCTTACTATCAGAAACAAAAAGTGAAAATGTTTTCCTTCATTTTCGAGATTCGATAAGTATTTGAGATTAATATAAGTCAAACTTAATAAAATGTATTTTTGTACAAATTTATTATTTCCTTATTTCCAAAATATTTGAACATGAAAGGGCTTAAAAAGATAGTTATTTAAGCTAAAGTGCTGAAATAAAATAATTTAATAATACTGGCAGAAACCTATCTTAATCTTTCGCGTGAATAATTACAAAGAAAATAATATAGTTGAGCTCTTTTGATGTTTAAAATGTAAATGTAAATGAAAACTTGCTGGTAATTAAAAATAAAATAATAATAAAACCTAGTAATGTTAAAAATAACACTTTTAAAACGATTTTTATTTTCCATTGATTTTTTTTATACTGGAGCTTCAAGCGAAAATTTATTTATTTTATACAAAAACAATTGTATATATTTTCAAACAGACACAATCAATCACATTGACTTAAAGCACGTTACATAAATGCACAAATAAAAGCAATGAAAATTTTTCCAAAACGTATAAAAAGTATTTTGAAAAGTGCTGCTGCAGAGCTTCCACATGTTCAAATATGTTTTACGTCTCCCACGGAAGGAAAGAATTTTCAAGTCGTTTAACCTTAATTTTTAGGTGAACAATAACTTTAATTCAAAATGATATGTCATTAGCGGTTAGCCGACCGATAATGCTATCGATTACAGTTATTTTTAGATTGCCTCTCTTTTGTTTTGACTCTTCTGATTGCTTCTGATCCACTTGTTTTGCCGTGGAGCAAGTTTGAAAAGGATTCATTGGAGTCATATTGTCACTAGCTGACGACCTCTGTGCTTGGCGATGCACGATCGTATTTTCCAAAATGATTTTGACTATTGTAAGAGATTGATATGGATAAATTGGCAGGCTGATTGCCATGCAAGGATTTATTACTATGAGAATCTGTTCCCTATATCCTGATCAGGATACCTTTTCTAACTGTGCTAGTACGTATTGCATTTGATATTATAATAGCAGTTTACAATTCAGCTTATCCATAGGCTTACTATCCGTCAGGCCACTACATTATCGCCTCTTCAATACTCCACGGAATTTGTATTTCGATGCTTTAAATCTGTTTGCGGTTGGAAAACAATGTCGTCTCAATAGCAGATTTTAACATTACACCCAAATTTTTCTTGCATGATGCGTTCAATATGGTATTAAATATCGAATCGCATGGAATATTCTTCTTATTTTCAAATTAACTACTTTTCCGCTGCCACGTTTATTACTTCTAGAGTTGTTCAAATCCGGTGTCATTATAACTTTATTCCCACTGTCGGTTCGGAAATGTCTTTGAGGTGGCAACTCAGATGATTCATTTGACTTTTTGTGACTATTTAAATTTCGTTACATTTTGGTCCGAAAAATCGATTTTTTTTAAATAAAAAATTTTCATTCTCCCACAAAAAAATACATGCTTTGCCTGATCTTTCCCTCTGCAATCTAAGGTTTTTAAAAATTAAAAATTTTCGAGTTGTCATCTAAGGATGCTATTTGCTTGAACACTAAGCACTAAGAACTTAAAACTTACAATGTAATTTCAACATCGAAATGCAGCTTCTGCGAGGGATTATCAAAGCATTATCAAAAATTAAAACTTTGTCTTATTGTCGTCATAAAATGAAGAAAGCTTGGACGTCATATTAAATCAGCCGTCTTGGTAGATTTCTCTACATTGATTGTCAGGCAGGATCAATTTGATCCATATGTAGATCGGATCAATGCTAATTAATACCTTGAAAGATATATTTTGCCACCAAAAGCATATTCGCTAGATGCCGCTGCTGTCAGGATATTCCTAAGCAAATTTAAATAAGTGCAGAGATCTGGTATTCTGCGGCTCTGCCATCCCTTTCAAGGTAGTTCCTTGGGCAGCTTTACAACGATTTCAGCACATTTTCAATGCTTCGTAAGATTTCTGGGTGCCAATCGACTCAACTCATGGTTTGCTTTGACCACCGATTTTGTTCTAGGGAACAAAAAAGGTCACCCTGTGTGAATGAGACACGCTGGATGACATGACCGGCGGAGCCGCTAAACTATGTCAATGTCAATATATTCAAATGAATTATACTCGTATATTGTTTTTAGTGTTGTGATTTAACTGAAAATTTAGACATAACCCTCACACGACGTAGTGGAAATGAGCTAAAATAGTAACGGTACTAACGCTCAAATCTCTCAAAAATGAGTAGAAAATAAACGATATTAAACAGTTTGGAGGGAAAAAGTTTGTCAAGTTGACATTTCATTGGCAAGAAGCTGTTCCCCACGCCATAAATTTTCTCAGATCTTACACTTCCCCATGTTAGTATTCAATGTCAGACTGATTCGTGGGTAAAAGTTAGAGTTTAGCGTAATTTTTCCTTTGAAAACAGCTATGTGACAGTGGTCACTTATACCGACGACACTGCTATATTTCAGATTTCATCTCCATTAACAAAGCTGCTATAAATACAACAAAAATTGCCGACATCCTCTGTATTACTAACTGGAACATCTGGGTAAATACTTAAAAATCTGCGCTTCACACTTAGAGAGAAGAGTGTCTCAGACTCGACTTCTATCAAACTGTTATTCGGCTAAGTACCTTGGAAATATGTTTTGGTTGCTTAACCCTACGTCTAAGCTTAGCCTTACATAAAAGGTGGAGATGAAAAGGATATGGGTCAGTTTAGGGAGTGTCGCCAATGTTTCGGAGTCAATGCGGCAAACATGGGTGCTCAAGTCAAGCGTGGTGCGCAGATTGCAGATATATGACGGTGTAGCCTGGACTGCAAACATGCCTGCCTCTGCCTTTTCTTGCTCCAATATAAATGTAAATTATGTCAGAGACTAAAGCTCTTAAAACGCCTAAGTACGATCGCTACAAAGACACCATTCTCCAGAAATGTCATTATAGGAACATTCTTTTAAAACCCAGACTTATAAGACAAATTGCACTCACTGCATATTTATTGTCAAACTATATATTGCTAATAATAAAATGTGAAGAAAACAATTTTGAGTGTAAAAATTCCACAAAGATTTTGGTGCATAAAAATATGCATATTTATTTTGATCAAATAAAAAACACCGCACAAATATTGTAAGTGTACTTAGTATGTATGCACATACATATATGGATTGCGCGATTGTGTTACTTAAATCTAAATGTTGTAGCCTAGAAATATACAAATATAAAATTCATAACCGTTAGGTACACTTTGTGCATATAAAGCATATTGAAGCAATAAATTCAAAATTCAGCGCTGCAAACGTTATAGAAAAAAAAATTATTTATTCAGCTTCTCTCCATGTCCAGCTCTTCTTTCATTCTGCTAATCTCACTTGAACTTTTCTATTAGACTTGGACATACATATATATGTATGTGTGTCGTTAAGCGCTGATAAAAGATGCAATCCGATTATAAAGCCAATAGGCCAACATAACGATTATCACCGTCTTGCAGAAGCGATCCAAAAAATAGAGTCTGTAAAGGTTGAATTGCAAACATTACATACATACATACATACATAACTGTGTCAAGAAATTAAAATACGAGATAATCAGATCCCGCAGATATCTTTATAATCATTTAAGCTCACATTTTAAGATTGCGTCGAGCGCGTGGCAGTGACTCGGGCGTTTCTTTCATTAAATAAAGACGTCCGCCATGTAGACACGAAAGCATATACTCTTCTATAGACTCCTTGGGATCCATGTCCATGTTGAAACTGCACAGAGTTAATATAATTTGTTTATTTTTATACTAATTTTATATAATCCTCGATTCGCCTCTATTTACATACTTTATCTTATCCTCCGGCGTCAGCCCCTTCCAGAGCCCATCGAAACCTGGCGACTTAAACACCCACGAACGCATCGAGAAAAATTGTAGCACACTAAGACCTATCTGTATACGACGTTGTACGCGTATCATACTAAAATTCAGAAGTCTCACAATTAAAATGCACTCGCACCAGAGATCGTTCACACTTACAATCGCTTCTGTCCCAAGAGGAATAATATGAAATCAATAAAATATGCCGGCAACCAGTGGAAAAGTATAACGTTGATTTGATGATGCAATCGGTTTGTTGTAATACAACCATCCGGATACCACAAGCACAACTCCATTGGATATTCATAACCAATCTTTTTACCCATTTCGATTGCCTCGCCCCATTGCATTTTTCGATGTTCGGCTGCGGTGATGTTGTAAACGGGTACCGAGGCCGGACTAACATTTGTTAAATGTACAAATCAAAATACTTAATTGGAATTAAATACAACGAAGATGGTGAAAGTTAATGCATACCGTACTGGTTGCTTATTAAACTCGTAGGGCATAACGATCAGTCCATTGATGGCATAATCTACCGGTATGACTTCGGATTTGAAACGCGTATCGATGAGCATAGATCGAATAACACCTTTGCCGGCGCCCACTAAGAGCCCAGTAGGGCCATTCAAGTTGTCTACCCAACCGGGAACAGGTTCATACGCCGATGGCGATACTGTATAACAGGAAAAGCAGGAATGAAAAACATAAAGATAATAGGATTAATAGGACAGGATTTTAAAGGAAAGGTGGGTGGGAAATGCAATAAAAATTATGGAAAATATGGTTAAGAATATGAGGAATTGGTTTGGTTTGAGGAATTGCAGGGGAGAGAAATTGAATGTGTAGGTAACTGAATGAATTGAATAATGTTTTGTGTCGTTAATGAATGTGAGATGTGTAGATCATGAGCTCGATGGAATGATCTTGGTAGTGGGAAATTCTGCGTTGATACCTTCAGCTGCGATAAGTAAATATGAGGGAAGGAATTATTATATGTGATCCATTTAGTAGGCCTGATATTTATTGGGCGCGCAATTCTCAAACAGTCGGCTTTCTAAATAGTCAGCTCATCTTGTAGTCTTTTGAAAACTTATACAGTTGCCCGCTACTTTGCTCGCTTAAAATTATGTTTCTAAAGAGACAATATAAGTTTTTCTCACTAATCTGAGCAAAGAGTTGTTTTTGTTTCATATTTCAATGGCAAATAAGATTCTTTCCCAATAGATGCGTCGCTGTTTCATTCTCGGAATGAAACGTCATTTCCTTCACGTTGGACCAAATCAATGGGGAATACGTAATTTGATGAAAATCGTTTTGGGAGTTTCGTAGTTCATATGAGTGATGAACATGACATCGTTGAATTCAGTTGTATCATACAAACTCAACGAAAAGAACCATAAGTACAAATTTTCCTAGTCAACTTCATAGAAGATCCTTTCTTATGGGCAGCCTACGTTATATACAGTACTTTGCCTTCACTAAGTCTTGCATGTATATGCTTGTGTGTACATAGATTAGTGGGTTCTTAAGAAACTACTTTTATTTTTTCCAATCTAATTATTGTCTGAGCTCTGAAGCAAATTCTCATTATCCTTACAAATTAAGTCCAATATCATCCGCTGATGAATTTCTTTATCTAAAAACCCTAAAAAATCTAAATTTCTATATTCTTTTAATATAAAAATGAAATCGGATCCCTAGTAGAAAACTATCAAGGTATATTTAAATACTAAAAAATTACTTGGAGAATTTACAGCTCCCAATTTACTTACTAACTGTGAGTTGAGCCTTCTACGAAGCATTTGGCAAGGGGTCTCACTGGTCGCCAAAATATTTACACTGAGTCTCTTCATTACTAGTTAAAAACTTCTTTCAGATTCCACTAATGTATCTTCAGGAATGTCCCAGGGTAGCCGTCTAGGCCTGAATCTATTTCACTATTTTGGTAACAAATTTTTTCTAAAGATAACATTTAAAGAAAAAAATAAATTATACGTCATAAATCATAAAGAATAAGGGTTCATGCTAGAAACAGTCCTTTGAATTATTATGAAGTCTAAACTGGATCTAATGTTTAAAAATTATAAAGTAATCAGCTATGTCGAAGAGCCGCACAGACTACAAAATGGATGAGTTTCAGGCCAATATTATTGTATATTGGATCTTTGCACCTCAAACTTAGGATCACGCTTCAAAGGTATTATATATTGTTCAAGTAAAAAGCTCATTAGGTTTTTATCTAATCCATAGTACTAGTAAATATCATACTATACGGCGCTGAAAACGTGTTTATTCGCACTAAAAGTTTGTCTTTGGTAGTTTTTCGATTGATTGACTCAGTACGTTTGTGAACGCTCGCAAAAAAGCAGCCAAAGCAACCGCAAAAATTGATTTAGTTTATGGTCCCGCTACTGTAAGCGAACGTGTAGCACAAAAGTGGCTTTCTACGTTCCGTTCGGGTAAATTCGATGTCAAAGATTTTGCTGTGTATTTGATGATATTGGCAAGAAATCATCTAGTACAGCTGCTCTCCTATAACCAAACGCTCAATTCGGCTCTCTCCTGCCCACAACTGGACCGCTTGAAGGCAGCACTCTTCCAGAAGAGGCCATCTTTGAACAACAGAGGTCGATTTGTGTTCCGATTTTCATTTCAGTCGGTATAGTAGCTATTTCGGCTCGGCTTAAAGGTAGCATACCTTTAAGTACGTCGATTGTCTTTGGCTTGCTGGCATAAAATTTACCTTTTAAAAAGCCCCAAAGAAGAAAATCAAGGACAGTTAAATCTGGAGAATGAATCGGACACTCCAAATCAGCATTTTTCGACACAACATTTCCCGGGAAGTAGCATTGCAAAAACTGTCTTGTAGTGGCTGCGGTGTAGCGAAATGCGCCGTCTTATCGAAAATAAAAGTTCGTCAGATATTTTTCACGCACTTGTGGACACATAAATCTTCTTAGAGTCGTTCCACACACGTTTAACTACTGGCATTTGCGGCGATACGACACATATCAATAATCGGCAATACCGTCTCTGACCGTTTCAATAACTTCACCGGAAGGAATTTATCATCAAACCACGAATTGTGTTGTCTGAAGGTGTTGAATGTCACACTGTTTTCACAACTGAACGATTTTATTCAATATAAAGCGCTACGATTTTAGCCAATCGGTGTGTATTGGCACTAAATGACCTTTCGGCATCATGCACATTTATCAAAATCGGCTAAAAACCGACAGAGTTATTTAATGTTGAAATTCCGAACGGAACTATTCAAATTCAATTTCTTCATTTTTACTGGGAGTTAAACTAGGGTTGTTAATATAATCTATCTTCTTACACTACCAGTCTGATATTTTTTAACCATATCACACCTGCCAGACGCTATGAATTTGTTGGTGAAATTCTTCTAGTTAAAAGGCTGCTAGGCTTAATTTCTAATCCTCTTCTTCTTTCAGATATCAAAGCTAATTTTCCATTCAGAACGTCGAGACAGTTTTTCTCCATTTTTCTGAAGATTTGTAATAAGATTTCTGATTTTCAGGAGTTTGAGTCTTGACTCCCACTCTTATTCTAGCACATTCGACAAACCTACGAGCGTTTTCATATTATGAAGAGCAATTTTCTCTACTCTCAACTAATTATCAGCAACGGTTGAGTTAAGTTAAGTTAATTTTTAAAAAAATTAAGTACTAATTTTTAATCTAAAGTTAAACTTTTTAAGTTTTAAACACTAAATAAATTCCTGCTCATTTTGACTTAGGTTAGTTTTAACTGGTTAGGTCAACGAGTATGTCTAAGGCGTTCGATACTACGTTCATAGTGTTGCCAGACACACTACATACGGTCAATCTGTAATTCCACACTCGTGTTGTACATTTGTTTATTGCTGATTGAAGCTTTCGGGAGCTTTTATGCGCCAAGTAAGCATAGCCTATGTCCCCCGATTGCTGCACATTCACAAATTATGTGCATCACACATTTCCTACACTTCTTGGTGCTACTATTTGGTGTTAAATAAAAACTGAATGAGTAAACTGAAAAGTGGATGTAAATGAAATGACTTGGGTATATGTGATAAACAATTAATTGTTTATATGTGTGTATGTGAGGAAGGATATGTGCATAACAGGATAGGTTTTTGGCAAAGGAAAAGTACTGATTAATTGGTATTGGAAAATGTTGGCAACGCTTTGAATTTATTTCTTTTTGGGATTCTCAAATAATATGATTTCAACATACCGTTATTCACAAATAATATCTTTCTTACTTTATCAAAAGCAATAGCTGGCAAGCACTGCAATGTGCTTTAGCGAAGCTTAATAACGCCGAAGAGGTGTTAACAGTATTTGTTTGTGTATTTGCCAGTTTGCGGTACTGAGTTATCAGCTGGATAGGTTTAGCTTTGGTATTGCAACATTTCATTGACACTTCCAAATTATGCACTTATGTTAAACACGTTTTTCTGTTTGTTGTTTGTTGTTTTTTTTTTCATTTTGCATTTTGTTTATTTTTGTTTTCTTGGTGACGACAATGTTGATGCTTTTGTGGAGGCGAGCGATTGTGAGGATCTTAAGCTTTGAGTTTTTGGTATGCATTTTGACAAATTATTGCGATTTGCAAGCACGTTTTGTAAGCATAGCAAAGGAGTAGTACGTTAATGTTGTATGTATTTAAATATGTAGGTATGTATGCATGTTTGCAGGCACGGTTGAATATTCTTATGTAAGCATGTTTTTGACGGCGGGATGTTGTTTTTCCCACAAACTGCGACACTAAATTTTAATATGTTTTTTTTTTTTTTTGTTATTTATTTTCATTATTTGTTCATTAAAAATAAAAACAAGTGTTTTTATTATCAACTAAATAATCTTTTTTTTGGGGCACACACACACTTTGTATGGCAGATATGCGGGTAATATTATATGAGTACACAAGCTGATTTACAATAGTTTTAGTGATGCACTATTTGTTTTTGTTTTATGTTTCGATATAACACTTATGCTTAAATACATACATATATGGCTTTAATAAATGTTTTGGTATTTTTAAATTGTTCGGCTTTCGGTTTAGTAACACAATGCAAGCGAGCGAAAAGCTTGAAGAGTCGAAAAATGTTTTGAAATTTGAAATAAATTCACCCTTACAACACAGAATTTAAGTAGCAAAAATTTACAGCGAAACGTGGTGGAAGCTTAACAAAAATAGCGCTTAGAATAAGATTTAGTAATGGCAATAAAATGTATAAAATATAAAATAACAAAAATAAAATAAATAACAACCGCTGAGCTCAACATAGAGAGGGACAAAAACCACTAAAATAATTTTTTTTGTTTTTCTTTATTTATTCATTTTTTTTTTAAATTTCTGTTCACTTCACACTTGAAAAAATAAGCAATAAAATGTTCAGTATTTGTAGAAAATAAAATTAGTAATTGCAAATTGTGCTCATTTTTAAATAAAATAAAATTTTTATGAGATTTTTCTGATTTTTTGTTGTATTTCTAATTTAAAATAAAATGAAACATCCATATATATGAATGTATATATGTATATATGAATAGCTAATTTCATTCGAACAGCGCTAACTGCAGCGACAGAGCAAAGACCAATAATATTGGCCACCAAATGCTGTGCAACGGCACTAGAAACGTTGCATGCAGCAAGTGAAAGCTCTTTCTCTTTTACTGTTTTATTGTTGTTATTTTGAAACAGGAAAATCCTGAGGCTAGCATAGTTTAATATTTCTTGCTTTGGATTTCTAACAAACTTTGTTATTTTTATTAGCAATCACACAATTTTTTTTGTATTTTTTTTTTGTTGTTTTTCTTTTTACAACAACTGTTCAACAATTGCCTATAAAATGAGTTTTGCAGTCATTTTAATTGCAGGAAAAGTGGCAATGAAAACTAATTAAAAATTATTTACGAAAGTATTGAACCTAACTTATGCACTAGGAATTGTTAAAAAAAAATGGAATTTGTGAAGCTTTTAAGCATTATTAAATACTTTAATATGCAGGATATAAAATAAAGCATAATGCGCCAAAACCACTTAGCCTTGCAAACATGTGGATATTAATAATTCAAATTCATTTAATTCGTACTCACCGATACTAGGACGCGCTATAATCACCGGCATAGTTTCATAATGATCACGCACCAAAATCTCAGCTAAACGCTTCGAATATGTATATGTATTTGGATGTGGCTTAAGCAATTCCGGTGTAATGGAATCCAGTGTCTTAATATCCATCCATTCGACCATGCGCATAAGATCCTCTGGCTTGTGTGGATATTCGTAGACCTTCTCGTACATAACCTCCTGATCACAGTTACAGAAGGCTGTGGAAATATGCACAAATGCCTCAAGTCCCTTCATTTGTTTGGCAATATCGAGTGCGCGTCGAGTACCAGTTGTATTCATATCGATAGCATCCTTGAGATTACCTTCCAATTTAAGCGTGGCCGCCATATGGAAAACGATATTTGTATTGTCAATGACATATTTCAAATTTTCACCACTAAGTCCGAGATCTGTTGTTAAAAGACAAATGCGAGATGTGAAACAACGCAAATAATTGTAAAGTCATATTTAAAATAATTACAGTTACATATATTTACGAGGGTATATACTATAAAAAAAAAAAAAATTTTTAAACTAGAAAATAATGTACTACTTTGTATCTTAAGATTAAGGTTAAGATAGCAACACTCCACAGCGCGCTTTCTGTGGAAGTTTACATAATTACTCGTAGATGCAGTCAGCTTGTATTTCTTCTAGATTTTCGAGAATGTTTTAATTTTTGTTTATGCAAAAGTTTCTGGCAATTTTTTTTTAATTATAACTAACTTATTTCTATTAACTTACTTTCATAAGTAACATCACCATTGAAACTGGTGACCTTCTTCAACACTTCCGGTTTCTCCTCACGTATACGCTGAAAAATCGGTAATTTGAACATTTCCTCCAAACGCACTTCTGGGCTCTTTCCGCGCTTTGGACGTACAATAATGATGACCTCTTTCAGCGCGGAGCATGAGTACAACAATTTTTCGACCAAAACTTTGCCCATAAATCCGGAGGCGCCCGTTATGAATATGGTCTTGCCTTTGTAATATTCCTGCACTGGTGTTAGTTCCGGCATTTTGAATACTGTAAAAAAAAATAATAATAATTATTAGTGTGCTAAAAAATTTGTTGACTTTGGTACAAATCGCTATAAAAATTATAAAACTCAAAAATGAGCTCTATTATCTAAATATTTTTTTTATTAAAAAATAAGCTAGTACATAACTACGTATTGATATTGTTTAAAAAAATTCAATCCTCTTTAAATTTAATTGAATTTTCAAAACTAAACTCTTAGGTATTTAGAGCATTTTTCTGACGCATGGAAGCTAGTCTATGCTTCTGTAGTTTATGAGTCTGGTTATTATGGGCCAAAAATGCTATTCGACTCAGAAGTACTTAAGCCGAAGCCGATGACAAAATCTTCTTTAGGTATTGATGATTATCAATATTTATTTGATATTATAGCAAAGAATAAACTTGTATTTTATAAAATAATAAATAAATTTCTAAATATTAATGAAAAAAACCTGGACTGAAAACCCGCGAAAAAGGTATAGAGTATGCGTGGGGTCTGTGCCCTGGCCTTTTGCATTGGTGCTGTACAGAGCAGTTGTAAGCAAGCGAATCATGCTTTACAATGCTCTGGTATGGTGGATCGTTGCCAGCAAATTTTTCGCCAAGATACCATTAGAGAGAACACTGTATCTCAAATTTGTGGAATACTAGAGTATCTACCAGGCGAATGTTTCACAACTAAAGATTGTCCCTAGAAACAGAAAATCGGTAGATATGGCAGCTATAAGAAAGCGATTACATATACGTGTAATATACTGAGTTTCAGGCCACAAGGACATTCCCGAAATAGTTGATGAGGTTACCAAAAGTGCCATCCGTTTAGCTACCGAACAAGTGGCGATAATACGAAAGTCGTTATAGATATTGAAAAATTAGATTTCCGGATCAGAGCGCCAAGATTATAAGCAAGTGCATCGAAGGAAACGCGCTGATCAGAGAGGATCAATAATAGAAAAATTAAATCCCGAAATATGGCATACATTTCCAGACAATAATAATTCTGAAACAGTATTACTAAATTCGAAAAATAATGAACTTTACTCAATATACATAAAAGACTTTGTCCTGTATCAGGCGCGAATGCCGTGAATTTTGAGTTTTCAGGTCCGCTCCGAAATTATCGCTAAAATATTTTTGAGTTGGCATATTTGAAAGTTGTATGTAAAATATCTAATAGAGGTTTTCATAACTCAATCTGAATAACATATAATATATTCCGTGTCACTCAACGTAATTCATTTATTATTGAATCTGCTTAAAGCAACTTACGCCTAACTCGAGTTAACTCAGAGTCCAGGCACCCGGCGCAAAAAGCGTCAGCTAATGGGTTGAGAGTATTTCTCAATTTTGTCAGGTTCTTTATTCTGTACCTGTAGATTTTTTTTTTTTTAATTATTGGATTGGAACCTCTACATTGTTCCAATATTAGTCGCGCGTGCCACATAGTTTATACTCTGTAGTTGAATGCCCCCCTTCCAAATTGGCTTTATATTTTATTGTTTTGTAAATGAGTACTTAATAATCTTGTTTTAGCCCAGAGTTTTTAGAAAATCCCGAACTTAGACAAATTATTTTTAATATGGGATGTGAAGTGGCATGTCGCATTTGTGTGTATTTTCCTTGTGATTCTTCCATTTAACAGTTTGCCGGGATATTTTTTTTTCCTCATCGACTCTAATTCTTTAGCGCGCCGATAAAAAGTCGATGCTTTCTGGAGCATTTATTATTGATTCCTCGTAAAAAAAACTATCAGCCGTTCGGAGGTCGCTTAGAATAAACTGTAGGTCCCTCCATTTGTTGGAAAAACATCAAGAAGCAAAACCATAAATTGGAGGAGGAGCTCAGGCGAAAAATCGCTGCAGCGCTTATAAAGCATATATATATATATATACTCTATATATATGTGTGTGTGATCCAGTAAACCAGAGAGTACAAACATCCACTTTGTACTCTCTGGTTTACTAGGATTTCTACAGTGTATGAGTATATAATGTTTAATGTAGTCTTACAACTACCTTTAACTGGAAACTCCTCAGTGACCAATTCCGATTGTTATACGATTGTCAAACAGATATGACTCAAATATATCGTAGAATTGGTTAAGAAAAGTTATATATATATATATATTTATATCAAACGCTAAGAAATATTACACAGCAGTACTCTTTGAACTCGAATGCTTTCTTAATTTCCTCAGTAAATCGTTGTTCAAGAGTCATTATTCGCCAGTTTTTTTTTTTGAGTATTATCTTTTTATATATAACTTTTAATTCTTAAATTTCCTTTTTCAAATGAATGTATTTTTAATTATTTAAATTAATAACAGATGTTATCAGTAGCCCATTCCCACTTAGCGAACGTAACTTTACCAGCTGATGAGCAAATATGTAACTGTTTAGTGTATGAGGCAAGTGTTAGCGTGATCTTCCGCGTTCGGTCTCGACAGTACGGATTAGCACTGTTTTTCGTTCACCCGGTCTGCTGAATTTTCCGTTTATCCTTCAAGCGCTGCCCTCTATTGGTTGGGTAAGAGGTGGTGTAACGCTGGGTTCGTCGTTCCCAAAAAATAATGGTACGGTTTCGTATCCATCAGTATCATTATCATGCTACATTATCTAATTCACTTTGGTTCTACTTCAAAAGATCAGTAAAAAGCATCATACTACTTGAACGTAGTGCCTGTTGAAGTGTATGCTCAGCGGTTCAAAAAAGGTTCAAGTAAATTATTAATAATAACAACAGTTAGCTAAACAAACTATTATGATTGGCTTAAGTGTGCTTGGGCAAGATGATTAATGACGGAAGGCAAATAGCCTGAAGTTGGTATAGCGTTAAATTACTGCCGATATATCTTTATGCTGCTTCAAGTTTGTGGCCGTGGCGAGTTGGTGGCGGTGGCGAAAACTATCATGGTCCTCAAAGAAAAAAATGTTTACTTTTAAAAGATATTAGTTGCACGACTTATTTGTGGCTGGAATTAAGTGAGCTTCGCCCCTTCCTCTTGCACCTACACCCAACGTTATAAGCCTGATCTGCCCAATATAAATAATACAAAGGTGGGTAAGCGGCATGTAAACCATTATGCTCCGTGGGTAAATGTCATCAATCATTGGCTCGAGTACCTACGTACGAGTTTGGTGTGGCAGTAAGTGGTGCTTTGACGTTGGATAATGAAAGCTTACAAGCTAACTGTGTGGTACTGCATGAAGAACTTCAGGTGCACTTTATGAAGTCACTTCAGTTTATTGTTGTACTTGCAATTGGGCTTCACATTTCAAATACCTACACCAGAGCTATTAACTGAGATTGCAAAGAAATATTTCGTGTCTGTCTGAAACAACAAACAAAACCATGTCTCTACATAGAAACATACATACTTATGTAGTCGTATAATGCAATGTGTTGCAATACTTTTTCCTTTCAAAATAGAGAATGCGCGCATGCGTCGCTTGAGCAGCTGCGAAACAGGTTGCAGCGAATACTTGCGAATGAGATATGAAATGTAGCTAGCGATAGATCGTTGCACGCGCAATTGCCGATTTCCATGCTGCCTTAACGGTATTGCATTCGCGTTGTGGTTATGTAATGAAAGTAATGCCGAATTGGAAAAGTGGCCAGATATTGGCGAACAAATTGCTAATACTAGTATTTACTTGTTGTTGTTGGTAAACCACAAAGCCACTTTGGAGTTTAGAAAAAAAGTTGGTGAATTTAGCTGAGCAACTGTGTGCCGCGAAACGGGGCTGTTATTGTATGTGTATTTGTATGTGTGCATGTAATTTCTTCTACACTTGAGTGAACAACTAATTCGCACATATTTATGACTTTGTACGTGTATATAACATATGTGTGTGAGTGTGTGCCTAGCTGAGAGTGCAAGTGTTTGCGCCAATATTAGAAGCTTAAATGACGGCAATTGTGCCTCATTCGCACAATAAATGGCCAATTGAAGTTGCAACAAAATGTGGTTACTGAAAAGTGATTGCGGTTGCGCAGTATTTCCCCTGCCTGTTAGCAGATAGTGATGTGGCTGGCTACTTTACCATGCATTTATTTTATTTTTATTTTATTTTTTGTAAATATTTTTATACGTAAATGTTGCACGACCACTTTATTCCCGTACAGGTGTTGCAATGATCATGCATGTATATGTATTGTAGATAGAATTAAAAAGGTAATTTTTAAAACAATTCCAATAAAAGGAATACAACACCAAAAAATTACTTCCATTCATTACATACTCATACATACTTGCCAAATATAAAAAGAAATGCAATAATATACAATACTATAATTAATTATAGCTACCGAAGTAGTCGATTATATAGCGGCGTGTACTATGAACTGGAAAGTAGATTGCAAAGGAAAGGATTGTTGAATTACTCTGCGTCTGATAATGACATTTTCTAGTGGTCTTATCCAGATGGATACTAAAGAAAAAAATAGAAGAAAATTAATTTTTCTAATTGCGCAAAACCACAGATTGGAGGAGGAGTTTAGCCGAAAATCGCTTTGGAAGTTACAATGCGCAAATTATATATAAAGGATGATTCATTTCGAGTTTCCCTACTTAAAAAAAAAACCAAGAAAATTCAAATTTAAGGGGAAGTGTTTGTTATCATTCGAAGGAACATTCTTTTGTATTTATTTTTTGAATATTATCTCTTTGAAATGTTGGCAGCGGTTATGTCTCAGATGGTCCAACTGTTGTGATAAATTTTCGATGACTCATTCGAGGATTTCAACTGGTAACTGGCAAATGACCACCGTGATCTTTTGCTCCAAGACCTGAATCGAATCGAAATTTTCCGCAAAGACTTTAGACTTTAAATATCCCCACAGGAAAAAGTCTAACGGTGACATAACACACGATCTTGGTGGCCAATCGACCAGCTAAAAACGGAAAATTTTCTGCTCACCGAAGTATTCTCTTAATAAATCCATTAATTCATTCGATGTGTGGGAAGTTGCGGCGTCTTGTTGAAAGCAAATGTCACGAGCTTTAA